ATGAGACCATGATTACGAATTTCCATAGTATTTTATGCATATATGAAGATTTTACATACGTCATTACCAAGAACAAGGTAACGTAACTGCAAAGGTGAGGAAAAAGTCACTCTTATTCGCGCAATCAAATTCAGGAAATTCGATGGGAAGACCCCTTAAATCGTACAGGAATAAAGGGAGGGTATCATAGGTCAGGACAATACGTGGATATGAGAATTCAAAAATCTTCCGTACATTTCTTGTATTTTATATCAAATATCAAATTACGTCTTATATACTTTTATTATTATTATTATTATCATAGATTCCAATCAGCTTTTCACTATAGAAAGGCTAAAAGGAAACTGCGAAAAAATTAATATAAATCAAAAGATCTGATGGTGTTGTAACCTTATAAGATACACTTATGTATTAAAAATTTTAGAGGACTCTCAAGACACATCATATACTTTGATCATACGATAAAATTTACTGATTTTTTATTATCAAATTTAAATACAGAAGAAGTTTAAATGTGTGTTTCCATTACATAAAGCTTTAAATTTACTTGAAGAAACATAAGCTATTCATATTTGTAAGTTTAAAAGCATAATATATATTTAAATTGTAAAATTAAAGATTGAAATAAATGGAAAATATTTTGGAAAATATTTTAACAACTTCTTTTAATTAACGGTACATACACCTACCTTTAAAAAGACTTTTCTTTTTGCTTTGATAACATGTAAGGTCTCCTTTAAATTTTTCAAAGTTCAACATTTAGGATGAAGATTATAGATTAATTTTTTCATTGCGTTTTTCTTACAAATTCATCTCGTTAACCAAGAAGCAATATTCTTATATTTTTTCCTTAGATATTAAGAAATAAATACAAATAAAATGATATTTTAAATATAAATTGATATTTAAAAAAGAAATAAAAAATATTTAAAAAATTAAAACTGCAATAACCTTGAAATATTTAATTTCATGTGCTACATACATTTCAAAAATGGAAAAAGTAATGTGATTGTTTTTGTTATATATCTGCAAAAATTATACTTCACTTCTAGCCTTATTTATCAAATCTCAACATTGAATAAGCCTCTTGAGACTTATTTCAAATATCAATCTTTAATTGTATGGCTTGCAACTACAACTTGACGGGGTCCCCCTTCCTTCTTACTTTTTGCAATATTACTCGGTACTCTTTCTGTTTTATCTTTGTTCCAGATGATAGAGAAGTGTTTCGCGAAGCTTTTTATGTCGGATTGCTCCCACTTCCTTCTTGCTGCCAGCACCGTTCCATGGTCTGCGCAGTTATTGCATCATGCATAAACACCGCGGGGTTGCATTGAAAGTATCTGTAACAGATGCTATGTTCTTGCGCCTCATGTAGGGGTGGGGTGTGCTACATGCTGCAGGGGCCTACTTGTAGAGGAACGAGAGATCTTTTCCAAAACACATAAATCATTAAAATAAACTGCTAGAGAGAACGATGAAAGAGTCAAATGCAGATTTTTAGGCTGACAAGAAAAACATGCGAAGATAGTCTTAAAGAACTCGTCGGAGGAGAAGATTGATGCAACACCTACTTATCGACGCGTGAACGAACACTCTACTTGCTAAAAGGAAGCAAAATAGTGAAAAGAAACAAGAACAATGAAAACGGTCGAAGTAAACTTAAGAAGTCCTTCGAAGGGTGCTCTCTCACCTCAAAATCCGGCCATGCATTTTCGAAGGCACACTAATTGCCCAGGCATTTTGTTCCTCTATGTCGCTCCAAGATAAAAACAATGGAAATAAAATACAGAACCCGAATTTAAAGTATTGTTCAGGACGCAGGTCTTTGGCTGTCCTTTTGAGACAGCCGTCAAGGCAAAATATGAAAATTATTTCGATCCGTCAGCATCGTCAAGCAGGCTAGTCGGGTCTTGATGCGGGCTAGGGGGCCTAAGCACTGACCTAGCCCCGCATTGTACCTCATTATGTGAATGGGGGTAATCAGTCTACGAAACACTCGACATTCATTCACATGGACGAGTAAAGGAAAAGTCTGGAGTCTGCTGCAGTAAACGGGCGGTAGAAGGGTACGGTCAAAGCTGGAAGCATCCATCGGAGACCAGACTTTAGACCGTACCGGACTAGACTTGGGCCTAGACTTGTTCTATAAAATGTAGACTTAACAAGGAAGGGAGGAAGGAAGCAAGAGTAATAGAGGGTGGGGGCAGGGTACGACCTAGCATTAGGGTGACTTCAATAAAAAAGATTCACTATCTCGTACTCGTTGGTGCTGCTGCTGGGCTGGGTTGGGTTGGGCAGCCTGGGCCTTGGTTCCGTATACCAAGGGGCTACGATCGAGGAGCAGATCTGTTTTTATATAAAAGTGTAAGAAGCACGTACGAAGACCGTCAACTTCGAAGAAGCATCTTCCTGTCAGGATGGAACTTAGTACACGGTATAAAAAGGAAGAGAACGTGGCCCGCGATGCGCAGCGCGGGTGGAAGAGAAGATTGTCCTTCGGACAACAAGAAATGACACCCTGGCCAGCAAAGGCGGGCACCGGTTTCACCATTGCCGAGAGATACTCCGTACGATATCTAGGGTGCTGGGCCCGGACGGTAAAAAGGCACAACTTATATGCGCAACTCGCGGGTCGGGCTTCGGACAACAAGAAATGACACCCTGGCCAGCAAAGGCGGGCACCGGTTTCACCATTGCCGAGAGATACTCCGTACGATATCTAGGGTGCTGGGCCCGGACGGTAAAAAGGCACAACTTATATGCGCAACTCGCGGGTCGGGACTCGGGGTGTAGGGCAGCGGCGGCGCCGGGCCGGGCCGGGCCGGGCTGGGCTGGGCTGGGCTGTTCTTCCCTGGCTCGAACCCCCTGGCCTGGCCTCTCTGCCTCTCTCTGCCTCTGATACTGAGTTCGCCCCTCTGTCTAAACGCCGGGTTAGGTCTTGGAGCACTCTCCAATCAGCAGCAGCAACATTAGGCAGGCAGCGAGCAGGCAGCAGCAGCAGAAACCGCAAGCACGCAGGCAGGCAGGGAGAGGGGGGGAGGGGTGGGGGGCAGGCAGGAAAGCGAGCGGGCAAGGCTCAGCAAGCCAAGCCTAACATGGAGGTTGGGCTTGAGACATTCCCTCTAGGCGTTGTTGGCTGGTAAAAGTGAAGAGAATCGGGGAAATCGAGCAGGCAGACCGGCCGGCAGGCAGCGAGGGAGGGGGCCGGCCAGTGCCGTAGCAAGAGCCAACTGATTGCATATTTTGCTCAGAAAGGAGCGAAGGGAAGCGCTTGCAGGGCAGAAGGGGAGGGCAGGGCAGCGCAGAGTGGCCCTGTCTGTTTCCTGTGACCTGGCAATATGGCACTTCTGCCATGCCTGCCTGCCTGCCTGCCTCCCTCCTGCCTCTTGTACTGTGCGTCGATATTCTATCCTCACTTATGAGATGAAAAAGGACCGAGCGAGCCCGGGCCTTGCAGGCTTGTAAGACATTCTCCTAGTGGAGGGCATGGCGGTCGGTCCCTCCACCATGCTCATCATCCATCCATGGCCCAAGGCATCCATCAGTCTGTCCGAGCGCCGAGTCCGTCCAGTCCCCCCAGAGTCCGCACACCACCCGCGCCTCCCCCTCTCCTCCTCCCCAACCCCACTTTCCTTTCTTCGCCTGTTCGTACGACCCTACACAATCAGGTACCTCTACTCCTGTACTGTAGTGCACTCCCTTCGAACTCTGGTCCTAGCCCGGCCCAGGCCCATTCCCAGCGATGTACATCACTGCTACTGGATGCTTCTGGACTGTTCTGTACAGGAGCAGCTTCTGCCCCCCTCACCCCACACCAGTAGTGAGAGACTGTACTATGTTTCCAGAGATCTCCTCACCTGTCACTCTGCCCATACGGTCCTTGCGTATGCCTGGCGTTGGGTAGAAGATCACTCCGTCTGGGAGTACGTACTCCCAGTACAATAATTGACTACGGTATCTGGGGTATGCGGTATGAGATTCGTATGACATGTCCGAAAATTACCCCGCCATGTGGTACGTTATGGTGGGGGGATCGTACACAATGCAACTATGCGAAGAATTCTTAACGGCGGTCTATTTCTGTACCGAGACTGGGCAGGAGGGTGAGGACAAGGATAGAGACAAATGTTCCAGTTAGGTAATTAGTGGCGTTGTCTTGTCTTACCGGGCCTAATAATCCTGCGCAAGTGAACGGGATTGAAGAGTATGACATTGGTTGTCGCGTTCACGAGGTGCCAGGCTACGCCACTGAAATCTGGCAGATTTGGGACGTTAAAGTTACAAGTCTTTTTGACCGGGTTGACACCACACAGTATCCTTCGTGGTTTCCTGTCTACTGCTTTCAACCGGGAATCGACGGTCGTTGCTGGTCAGACTGACTGCAGATTCATGAACATTATTTTTCCTGCAATAATTACTAGACAGCAATACTACTGCCCACAGGGCCAATTCTCCCCTGTTTTACGTGACACTGTTTGTGAGGCGAGAAAAGAATCAACATCCTAGGGACCACCAGAGCTAGTCTACTCCCGTTCAGCTGGCCCTTTCAATTCACATGACGATAAGTTGCTTTAAGTTGTTCGAGGTCTTTTCTGTGATGTCTACTAAGCCTTCAATATCTCATAGTCAAAAAGCCGCAAACCACATCACGATAAACACAATGGTCGAATGATCTCCCTGGGTTTCAGAATCTGGTCTTACTCCAGGGTAGGAAATTTGCAATACGGTTGCTGCACAGCCTACAGGAGTCAACCTTTTTGGGACCTTCTTTCGAAGTCCTTCATCTCTGAGCTATCGAGGACTCGACCTTCGAACGAAGCACACGAGCTACACTCGACAGCCATTTGCTGATGATATTCGTCTGCTGATTCACATGCATGACTTGCAGATATCTACTGACGGAAGGCATTTCGGAGATAGACCAAAATCACTCAACAGACATCTGAACTTATATTCACGCCCACACAAAAGACACGAAGACGAGGCACAAACAAGGGAAGATATATATCCTTTGGCAGACAGAAAGTCCACTCTTACATTGAGTTTCTGTTCCTACATATAGGCGAGCGGAGGCAATGATCACGTATAATCTATATCGAAGATAGTGCAAGAGAACCTGGTGACTAAAGATATGCTGTACAGGCTAGAGGATCTAGAAAGGGTATATATGGCTACTGGCATACTATTTTCTTACAACCTCGCTAGTGAATTTTAAGTGCTCTTAATCTATCTATAATCTACGCCAAATCTCTGTACACTTGAAAAGGAGTCCTAGAAACTTCTGAAATAATGTCACCTTATAAAAGCTTCAAGCAAAATATTTGCGCGCATTGAAAGCATAGTCTGTTGGATTCAGCTATGAGAGTCTGGTCAGTTGGAGGAGGAAAATATCTCACACTGGGAACTGTGGATGGTGAACTTCACGAGTTCTCTTTACATCTCCAGACAGCTGGACGATAATTGCATCAGTGCAGTGCAGAAGAGCTCTGGCACTGTGAATAAGATCACGACTGCTCTTTTCCACTTGCAATCTAAAACAGCATTATCTAGTTCTAGGACGCTTCAGTCACAGCGACTTCACTGTCCTTCAACTAGCTAGCCAAGTAAGATCTTAATTTTCTCCATATAGTTAATCGTTGAACATATCACATTTCATGACTATATCAATGTATGAAAAAATGTCAGGACCAAACGTATATCAGACTTCAGTGAGCTGAGCTGAAGGAGAAGTACCAGAGACCGAGAACAGACACACCGAAAGACACCTGCACGGTCGGGAAGTCTAGGTAACCAGCACAGCTCCTGACTAAGCTGTACAGAAGACCATGGAGACTTGAGAGACTGCTCACAGTATCCACTTAGGATTTAAAACGTGTATTTCTGTCCGCAAAAAGAGAATACAGGCGTCAGGTTACGGTACTGTTATTACTCCGGGTAGTTCACGTAGTGCACGGATTCATGTTAATTCTCTGACTCAATTTCTTGGTCAGCGTGATCAAAGTAAAGCAGATAAGCTTTGACACACTTATTATCTGATGTATGCATAGAAATGTAACTTACAACTTTAGCAAGTTTTATGAAGGTTAAAACATTGTCCACGGCAGAAGAGACAACACAAATACAAAGGTGCAGTCTGAGGAACTACCAAGAATGACAGGCCAAGCTCAAGGGTGCATAAGAAACTTGTTACTCGTTACTGCAACTGAAATTGAAGTTCTGCAAAACGCTGAGCCTATGATGAAAGGAATGATTAGGTCTCCCATTTTCTTCTGACCAGTCTTGTAGCCATTTCCCCTTGACAGTGTTCTTTTTGTCTTCATTTCGAAAGCAGTGGAAGGCCAAAAGGAGCGAGGTTTACCAACCATTACCTTTTCAAAACCAAAGAATTTGGCCACTGACTCCCATGTAGAAGAGGGTCAATCCGCTCCTGTCACATAAATCAACGGATAGACCAAAGCAGTAGACCCCAGAGAGGTATGACACAGAACGCAATTGTAAGATACACAGTCATGCTTTTGGTAAATATGGCAAAATCTTCATGAAAACGTGATGTGTAACAGCAAACATTGGTTTGATCTTGATGAGAAGGGACTTTCATCTAGACGAAACTTTCCGTAGCTAAGCCTCTTGAGTATACAAATTTCACATTTGTACATGGAAAAATCGTTCCATACCGTCTGTGGCATACAGCTCAGGTGCTACAAGCTTCCAAACGTTAGCAGCTGACTATAAAATAGTCGAAGTGATCATCTTTTACAATCTGGAAAGACTTAGACCGATGTTGGACTTATAGCGGGTGCGTTTTTCTTCCGATGGACTCTGAGCCTGATTGCGGAGAAGATTAGAGTGGTAGTGACTTCGTAATCTTCTCGACAAACGAAAAACGAGGTGATCCAAGAAGGAGTGTCGTTCGGTTGCTGGCTAAAGGGTAGGCGTGCATTACTCGACCTCGCAAACTCATCTCAGCCTAAAAGACGTACAATCGAGTACAGAGAGGATTGAAGTGGTGGTGACATCGTTGTCTAGCAAACTAGGTCCCATAAGTATTTCCTCTCAGCCGCTATTCTATGATTAAGTGCTCTTGTCACAACAGAGAACTCAAAGCACGTGAACTAACAAGATAGAACACAGAAACAACAAGGAATGTTTGCAGGCTCATTCCCGTGTCAGCATTTCAATATAAGATACGATCATACTGAGTCCTGGCACTACATTTCAGTTTGTCTATCTTCTGTGAAATAAACGGGAGCTAATTTCACGATACTGGACATTGAAAATATACGATTGCTAATGATCACAAAAGTGGGTACAAATGACCAGGGCAGACATATAATACAGCTTTGGTGATATCCAAAAATGATGACTACTAGCTCCGAACTGTGGTGAGGATTGAAATTCAACTTGCAAGATAAGAAATACCTGAATTACAGTAGCTAGTGAATGTGGAAGAGGATACTGAAACATGTTAGGCAACTGTATGGATTTTGAAGCATTAGCTAATAACAGCGTCGTGATTCCTGTATCGGAGCAAAAGACAGTTATGTGACTAAGAAATGGTACCAACGGGACGTTTGTTTATAGGTGCAGCTGTAGGGAGAATAGGGACCTTGCATGATATAGTTTAAGCATTAGATCATAACTATGATTAGCTCGAGACTAGCCTGCAGTATATCCGCTCAAGAGAAGATTCCTGGAAGATATGTACCACAGCCAGGACAAATGGATTCTCAGATCCTATGGGAGGATCGTAGTAAAATATGGATATAGGCAACATACGAGGTGAACAACTGCAGGGGGTTAACATGCAAGGAGACCAAAACATGCAGATAGAGGGCACAGCACAACTTTCGAAAATACCACAGTGAGTGAATTCTATAAATTGCCTAATCAAATGATCGATCCACGACTTTAAATGAACATAAATAACAGGCCACCGAGATCTGGCTGACGTTAACCGGTTACAAGATGTGACATCCCTAAACCATGAGTTAGAAATCTTTCTTACTTAGCAACCACAATATTTCTACGTCCAAAATCTCATAAGTTGACATTCCCAGAAAAGGAGAGCAAGAAAATGTAAGAAAAAGACAAAATGTATTTTATAATGAAGAAAACGGCTGTCATGGGTTAAGCATCGTAAGGAAACGTGGCAATGAGCGGTAGGAGACAGGAAAGGACTTCGAGCAAAATGAGGAAATGAAATATACGCACATCACACACTTCAGTCTGGTTTTGATCATCCAGACTAGTTCAGCTCCTTGATGGAATATCAAAGTAGATACTACCGGATCCAACTGTGATCTTACAATGTGTAAAACCAGGCTGAGTGCTATTCCCCTTAGAGCAGTCAACACAAGTTTTCTGCTGGGATTATCTAAATCCTGTACATTGAAACGACAAACAGCAGGTAGCAAGAAAGCAAAACGGCCCTTAATACAGTAGATGGAAACAGAAAAATAAGCAGAGTGAAGGTAGACCACCTTCATAAGTCTAATTCCATTCACTCACAGACAAGAAACCATTTGTTTCAATGAAGAACAGGAAAAAAAAGAATTTATGAAGATGTACACAAATATTGCTAAAGGATAATATTACGAAGCATTTCTATGAGTAATCTACCAATCATCAGGTGCATGTCTAATCTGGACAAAAAACTCGAATTTCGTGTAAGTCTAACTCGTGATCGATCGTGAACTAAACGAAGCATGAGTCATTCGTCCCAGAGTTGACATTTCGTAGTAGCTAGGTACGTAGACTAAGCACTGACGTTCCAAATTCTCCTCTGGACGCAATGAAGCACTTCGAAAGTCATAATTATTAAATAATCAAAGAGGAGGCAAGTGTCCGTGGCTACAAACGGGCTCTAAGGCTGTTGCTTTACATGTAGGTCCCTTTACTTCAGATGTTTCATTCTTCCAGACCATCCTTGAGACTCTCTCATGTATACAAACAGTATTCAGTCTGATGAAAAGTGCTTTCCTTCCACAATAAGAGATTCAGTGGCACAAAACGAAAAGAATCACAAGCTTCGTCCCAGGGAAAAGTGCTTATGGGAATGATCGGTAATCCCAGAACGTGGTGATCTACAGCTAGAAGAATTCAATTTTGCAGCCGTTACTGACGGTAGTGTTGCAAGGTTCTTTGTTTTATCATGCCTACGAGATTAGCCGAAAAGACTCAGCACTTTGGTTCTGATTTCTTTCGAGTCTATAGACTTGAGGGGACCTTCTGCCTTGTCTTGTGCAGAATTTCTATGAATCAGATACCATATCAATCTTGGCGCATAAAGATACACCCCAAGAAGCTGATGCGACTTCCTAAACCAAGAGCCATTCTCAGTTTGAGGTTTCTTCGACGAATCAGATAGACCATTCCATTCGAGAGTGATTTCTGCAGTTGTTGAACACAACACCGAGAAAACTCGCAACCAATGAGGAGAACAGATCCCACAAATTAGAGTTCTACACATGAATCTAAAGTCAGCACACCCACAACATGGGTATACTTATTGATTAACTCTACATTCCTCAAATTGTTTGAAACACTTGACTGCAACTTCTACCTTATCTTCAAGGCTGAGGATTGAAGCAGCAGGAAGACACACTACACACGATGAAGAATGAAGTATGGATCTTCTCGCACCTTTGTCATGTTTCAAACTATACTCACTTACTTATGCCACTCACAGTCCTGAACGTTAGCTGAAAGGTGCTAGTAGTAATATACGAAGAAGAAGTGACTGGAGATGAAGAGTGAGGAAGAGAATGCGGGACATGGCTTGAGAACGAAGAGAGTCTCTGTCAAACAGAATAACGGTCGGAGATTTAAATATACCTTTCTTAAACCTGATACGAGTCAATTTCCTGCCAGCAAAGTTTGCACTAACATACATACTGGACACGCAGTAGATGTTTTAAGGACATTGATGATAATTCCTGATAGACCGAACCTTACACTCTGTACGTCATGAAGTAATGTTCACATTATCCAGGCCAACGCTTTGGTATGTAAACTTTCTTATTGGGTCCGAGGATCTACGTTATTCAGGCTATGCCAGGCAAATCTTACTGAGTCAAGGACCTCATTACCTCTCAAAAAGGATGAACACGTCGTCAAATCGAGTCATGTTGAGAGGAGAAGGAGGAAGGGGTCTAGAGGGCTAATTGAGTCCGTTCAAAATTAGCTGGTCTGCTCTCTACTTTCGACTTCACCGCGATCTCAGATACTAAAAAACACTGAGGAGTTGATCATCGTATCAGTCTTCTTATAAGAATTTTCTGTAATTGATGACGATCTAAGAACTGTGTGTTCAAAGACAAGTGGTGAAGCTAATGCGTAATCTTTTCAGATAGGTCTGGTAGAGATTATATCTGTACCAGGCGTGATACAAGCGACACTACTTGTTTCCGTTAATCTGCGTTCTAAACAAAGTGAGAAGCTGCCGTAACAACCACGTGATCAAGTTGCAATTGCGAATCGTTGCCTACTTCATTCTTGGGTTAGTCCAGGTACTGAGTCACATTAATGTACGGATCCTCGAACCTTCCGCTTTCCAGGCCTATTATTTCCTGCCTGCCCTGTTGGATAGTCAGATGACTTTTAATCAGAACACCTCCAACGTGAGGTATAATGTTCTTCGAGGCTGGTTTCCATAGAGGGTAGATAAGGAGAACCCTCATCGGCTTGACCTATGTCGAAGTCGCATTATGTACCAAAATTAAAAATAAGGACCGTAACGGGACCAACCTGCCTCACAGACACTGCTGAGAAGTAGGCTAATGAGAGGTAATGTAGTTTCAATTGAGTTCCACTTAGGCCATCTAATTACTGATAAGCATGCATCCTTGATTCGAGAGATGTTCAGCATAAACATAAGGTTGAAAGTTACATTACCTCGAGTTTCACAGAAGCCCGTCACGTACGCTCAGCAGGTGTGACGGGATAATCTTCCACACTCGGAGCTGGTTTCTTCTTGTACAGGTATGATAATTTTGCCTTGTATATTAAAATCAACAATATCTCTCATTGCTAACTTGGTAATGAAAAACTTAAGATCGGTGTGCAGCGTCAGATTTCATTCAATACGCCTTCAGACCAGCTACTGTTTCTTACTAAGTCTCGTTTTATTCCTCTGAATTGTTGAACTCTCGAGCCCCTATTTCATCCCGTGCCTGTCTGAAGCCTCTCACAAGCTGTCTGGGAGTTACATTTTGGCGAGAAAGTGATAGCAAACAGTGTAGTTAAGATTTCCTCAAGCTGGATTCTGAATATTGATCGTGAAAATCACAAACTAACACATGTATTAAAGGTCATACAAGAAGAAGACGATATGAACTGCAGCTGAAGATACATGATTGTGTTGATGAGTCCAGGAGACACAGTCGACGAAAGTAGCACAACAGCTAGCTGGCAATAGGTTCTATGCCTCCAGAGGTAGGGGTATACAGTCAGAGGTCCCCCTCGAGGACAAATCACATTGGTGAGCTCGACAACTTAGCAGTTGAACTGGCTTGCAAATTAACTCAAAGTTCAGATAGAGGAATATCACTATATCGAAAGTTGTAGGTTGCCACTGCAATTTCGATTCTTTTAAGGTCGTAGATTCTGACGAGAATATGGCTACAGTTGCAATGATAAATTATTTTGGCACTTTTGTACCACCGTTACTATTCTGACCGCAGTTACCACTTTGGGAAAAAATCAGATTTCCTCATACAGATGACTGATGATCTCAGGATATAAAGTACCTCATTATTGTTACAAAAGCCCAACATGAAGATCGAATTGAAAAGACTGTCAGCTCAAAACCGAAGCAGAAGAATGTCGGGTGTACATTTCTATATTGAGCACGCACCTGTAGTCTAGTCTGCTTCGCTTTATCATTGATTCCAAGCCGAATCAATATCTACAGACTTCCGTCGGACCTCATCACAGCCTTCTCACAGCTTGAGGTATTCAAGGCGATTCCTTACCGACAACGTACCACGAGTCGAGCACATGACGGGGAGCATACCTCTCATCGTGCAGGCAGTCCTGCAACAGCATCCAAGACCACGTCATTCGCGCTGGGTGTACTGCCAACAACGGCAGCGGATGATCACGGCAACAGCGAAAGCAGCACGGGTTCGTATTCACACAATTCTCTCTCTCCCCACCTCCCTCTCTAGCTTATCAGAGGTGGCCAAGAGAAGAAATCCATTTCGGCTCTAGGATAGGCAAATCTACGACCACCGTGCATAGGAGTGGCCGCGTTGCCGACGCTCATGCCCGGTCACCGGGCGTGCAAGTGCAGAATTTCGGACGCACGCGATGGTCAAGAAAATATCTTGAGCGCGTACGGGGGCCGCTCGCGAGTGCATGAAACGGCCTGCTGTCAACGGATTGCGACGACATTGCAAGGCAGTCGTCGGTTCCCACGACGCGGCGGGAGTCTCCTCTTCGAAGTAATGTTCGACATTCGAGCTGTTCGAAAGAATCAGCCGTGGAACGTATTTCTGAATCGAGAGGACCGAACCTCGGTCTGCGAAGAAGTCTGACTCGAGGATCCATCCCACTCCGGTTACCTCACTCCCGGCGCATGTGTGTATGTGAGCATCCAGATATTCGAACACAATCCGACGGAATGAAGTAAAAGTTCATGAGGATTCTGTCATCACCTTCGCCACGTGGTCAGCATCCGGGGCAGGAATGAAAATTCTGTAAGGACGCAATGATTTTGCACGGGAATCGAGTGCGCGGTCTGCGGTCCGTCCTCACCTACGATCGTTCGAATGCCCTTAAGGTAGGACATTCTTCAAATTTCAAACCTCCGTCTCTGGCCAGTCCTACCAATGAGCCCCGCGGCTGCTGCCGCGTACGATTGGCCGCAGAACGTGAGGACAAATCTCACCATACCAAGTTTATTTGTTCTGAATCTTAACCGGACCCACAGCCGGCTCGGGGGAAAGCTGCCCATAAGTACCGAATTCGCCGATTGCCGGTTACGTACGAGTCTGGCAACGTACACGCACATGTACCGTCTCGTATAAGAGATCTTCCTCGCCCACCGTATCATATCTTGGTGACTCGTCGTACCGGAATTCTGGACCGCAGTTAAGTTGTCTGGAGTCGGGAGTCCAGGCGCGTCGACGCAATGCAACGGGTCGGCGCTTGCCCGAACCCGCGCCCGAGGCTGTTTGGCTCCGCCGTGATTTGAACTTGGGCAGTAGTTTCCCGACGTACGAAATGCAACCTCCTCCTTCGTCCCTTGCTCGCACGGGAGGGAACACCACGTTCTTGGAGTGTCATTTGGAGAACTCTCGCTGTCGTCCATGCAAGAGCAATTTCGCCTCCGTTTTAGTGCGTGGTTGAGATTGAGATATTAATTGGAGTACAACATTTGGAGTCTTGATCGTCCTCGCTTTTGGGGGTTGGAATTCCTAGGGTGAAAAGAGGGAGCTGGTAAGAGGGTGAAGAGCATTGAAGCTCCGTGTGCATGAGCTACTCCCGTACGGTTTAGAGTCTAGACTTCGGATTTCATCGAGTGGTTTTCGACAGAGATAGTAATTATTCTCCTATCGTATGAGACCGGTATCAAGTCCCATCAACCTCAGCGGACGACGTCATTCCGTGATCTGCTTGGTGGAGTGAAGACCCGCATTTGCGGTCCGAGTTGATTCAACTAGAAATCAGCTATTTGACGCACTATTTGCATGCAACTGTGCTCCAACTTGGAGGAAAGGGAATCAAGAATATTTGAAAAGGATTTTACTCCGCTGTACGTGGACTCGAGAGTTGGTGTATTGTCCAATCCGGCAACAGTTAAGAGGGTACGTATTGTATGCGGGGGAGTAGTTGCAGTTTTAAAAGATAGTGGACCATGATGACAAATATGCTCACTGAAAACGGGGTGGTTTTCTGGTTACGGAGCTGTTTGGAGGAGTCAGGTGGATCGTCTCTTGGTTGCACAGTGAATTTTCAATGCTTTCATGTCCTTCTGCTATCGGAACGAATCAAAAGTATGCAACTCCCCATATAATGCTCCCACAATAAGCAATAATAGCATGGATTAGATTGTGGTGATACTTCTTTCTGATTCTTGTCCGATGTCGTTCTGCATTCCGTTTTCCCTCTAGCTGAACACGACCTATTCCAGACAAAACAAAAACAAAAACTAAAGTATAAGAGGACACCAACCAAAGTAACCAAAGAAACAAAAGTAAACACGATCCTTTGTCTCAACCCGCATAATATAACTTCTGTCAATTGTTGTGTGATCTGGCTGCCAACTGTTTTCTACATCGGATATATGCTATTCACATATCCCTTCTTCTCGCTCCCCTCGCTCACACGATCCATGAACTCAAGTTTCAACCCATTTCTTAGTCCGTTCGGTTTCCTGCAGTGAACACCTCTACGTCATGCTGTGCATGTACAGTGCAAACCTTCAGCAGCCGACTCCCCTCCCTAGTCTGCCCTCTGTCTTTGCTGTAAATCCCAAAATTGTTCTATTTTAACCCCTTCGTTTCTCGCCCTCCACCGCCTATCACCATCATCGACAATCATTTTGTTCCCAGTCACAACCTCCGCAGATTGGCATCACATTCTCCGAACACTAAAATAGCAATGAAGTGTAGACAAAACTTCCGAGAATGCTCGTCGCGATCAGATTCGGCCGCGATGTTCTATATTAGTTGCACATGTCGATTTAAAGACATCGGCATCATTGCTCATTGCTGGACCAGGATCCATGATACCACAACTTGAACTGAGTTAATCTAAAACGACCCAATACGTATATTAGCAAATCCAGTACAAGTACATCTTGATCGTACAGCTAAAACACGGCAGCAGTAGCCTATTTTCTTCCATCCACCATATGTTTTTGTCCACCACAGGCGGCCTAACGATCTTGTTGTATAATTTGGAAGTCTTGCAGTTCGGATCGACACGTGGACCTACCTGAAGCGAACGAAATTGCATGGTGGACTTCACTAGGCCCGCAGGCACGCTCGCGCACATCCGCTCCCTCTGCTTGTTTGAAATTCAGTTTGACAGGTTCACAATCTGCAAGAAAATGTAGGCGACGAACAGATTTTTGCATCGTAATTAAGATACTAAACAGGTTATCACGTTGATGATGTTAAGGCACAGCGGCGAAAAGTTTAGAGAAACAGTGCGCGCTTGTTGGGGATGTTGTGGAAGAGTGATTGGAGTTGCAGAAAAGGATAGGTGGACTATACAACGGCAAGATGCAATGCTGCGAATGATGGAATGAGAGGGCCAAGGTATGAGTATCACTGAAGTCGTTTTTGTTCTGAACTCTCAACGGACAAAGAGTATCTTCTTGCCTGTGATACCCTCTCATCTGCCCTTGACCCACCAAATAAATATCACTGTTTTTCCATATCGTGGTAGTGATATGACTATGACGTCCGCAGATGTCGTCACATATTGTGTCATCCTCACTATACATCACGTTTTACACTTGCAAGCTACAAATCCTGGGCCCAGTAAATTCACAGGAAATTCGTTGAATGTCCTTAATATTCACGCATCCGACTTATCCTGTCATTTGGTGGATGCTTCTGTTAGCCTTGACTTCCATACCCGTCATGAAAGTCAACTCAAACCATCGCCTCTGCGGGAATCCAATAATCCGAATTGCAAATGGCTGGCTGAAATTGCTGAATCAGATATATTTTCCACGACGGTAGGTCAGTTATCACATGGAAATCTTTGTCTCCTGGTGAGGCCATGCAGAATTGTCGAAACTTCTAGTCGTATACACACCACCAGAACCGTCACTCTCAAATGCAGTAACCCCGATATATTTAGTTTTTTAAAACGCACTAGGGTCTCGATTATAACCAGTATAAATGACTGGTTGATGCTCTTTTGTGCGTGGGGGACTGGATAATGAGACGTTACATGTACAAGTTGGATTGACTTTTTTCATTACAAAGCTTTGTTTACTGCTTTGCGATCCATAGCATTTTATACCATTCTAAACTTCAGACGGGCACAGATGTAAAAATCCTAAGTTGCACGTTTCACGATAATAGACTTATCCTCACCTGTGAACACGTTTAGGAACAGTCGAAAAATCGAATCAAGACTCTAGAATTACAATTTTCTTTACGAATGAAATCAACTTGTTCCATAATCACTGTGCAACAAAATCCCTTGATGTCCAGCTACTAAACGCTCTATTAAATCCAAGTAAAATAGAATAAAGGCTATTCCTTTAAAATCAGTAGAAGATTGTGCTAGCACGCCGACACTTAACGGCTGGGCTATTGAGGTGTAGTTGAATTTCAGTATCATGTAATTTGGCTGAACTTTGGTGTTCATTACAACAGCATATCTTCTGGAAAACTTGTGAGTTCCCGTTGTTGTTAGGCAATCTAAGTGGAAAAGGCCATTGTACTTCTCTCTATGCGGATTCTTCTTCTTGCTGTCACTTCCTGAGACTGTCCAATAACAGGTTTTAGTTTCACCTTTTCTTTGGAAGCGTGGTGCAATTCCTCCTGACCCTGGAATCCATTCCAGGCGGCTGTAAACCCAGTAGACATATTTGTAATCTGTGGGTAAGAAAAAATTTGCAGTACATTGCAGGAAGTCGAGCCAAATCAGACCTCAATCATACACATTTTACACTCTGCAATAACATTGCAGTCCAGAAATACATGCACGTCGGTATCCATCGACGGAGCAGCCGCAACGGGAATTGACGTTTCCCGTTCAGATGGTTGCTGGTGACCAGAGGGCTTTCCCATACTCAGCAGTTCGTTTTCCCAGCACTTCTGACAGGTGGTTTCCTTGCACTGCCTTCCATAATCCACCGTTTGTTCCAATCCTACGCGTAACTATAAGAGGTAAAGACCTCTTATAGTTACGCATCCATTTGTCTTCCCTTCACTGATTACTTCAGTTCATTCATGACAGGTCTCGGTTTTTCTGTTATCGAGCTCATGTTTCTTTCCATGTATTATGTTTCGTAGGCACGCCTGAAACGTACCACCTAGATCTGAGTAAATCCCCGAGGTTGATTAAGTATTATCCTATCTTCTGTTGAAACAGTTCAACCAAATCCATCAGTCCTGCTAGGAGCGGAGCACATTACTTCAGGGAAGACTAAAGGAATCGTGTTTTTTATACTTGAACCTTGCTCATGCAAATGTTGAGCAGGCTGTTCATGTTTGTTAAAAGACAACGTCAAATAAAGTACTGGTCTCTTCAAGATACGAGATTATAGTTCATGCACGTTATTTGAATTAAGATAAGGCCCACAAAATACGTATAGTAATGTCGACGAAGAGAGCGAACTCGAAATTCTTAAGGTTTTCTTGACTGAAACAATAGAACTATGCCCGTTATCTTGCTCATGAATATATCTGGCGCAAGATGGCTCTCAGTGCAGCATACCGTACCTCAAATCAGTTGTTTGGCTCTTGTCATTTCGGGGTTAACATGAAGCAGTTGGGAGATAAAGATGTTATTGAGTAATGATTAGAAGATAACTTGAATATCCATCTCTCGAGTTGGGTATTCACTCCTATGTTGGCTAGCGATGTGCCGAGTACATATACTTGGCGGACACTAAGAATTCAGCCCTGTAGTTTGCAGTCGAATATGTAGACGCTAGTAATGCGTGAAGAGGATATGGTCTGTCAAGAGAAAGAACCGCATTTGTGTTGTGTTGACTTATATTATGTGCAGTATATACAGTAGATCACATCTTGATATGCAATTTTGCCATGTCTGCCATGTGTGACCTCATTTCATCTACTTGTAAACCGTATAGCTTTTCAACAAGCTGGATACACGCTTGTTTTGAGACATCTTAGCACAAGTTGCCGGTTGACGTACATTTTTTTTTATCATGTATATTATCGTCCTTCGTCGTCCTTGGTTTCAGAGTTTCCTTCTTGTAGACATGTGTGGATCTCTCTACGACCATTTCTTCGTATATCTGATTATTCCATTATCATATACTTGTCCTTCATCATCACGTAAGATGTGAATGACTAACATTGGAGTCCCACTTGTTCGCCATCCCGATTGTTCAGTAATGCTTATCTTAGCGTCTATTGAAGAAGCCTTCTTTGTATTTCTTTATTTTGTACTATAAGTATTTTATGGTTCCTCTTTTCTGTATACTTTGCGACATCCATTCACTACAGATCCTTGCAGTCCAATAATGTTCATTTCATATAGTCCAGTCACAGTACTGATCATTGTGTCGTCACATTCTGAAAGAATGAAATCAGCTCTGAACGTTTATTGATGTGATGGTTTGCATGAGTTAATTCATACTGCAAAAGAAAATCTGGTAACGCACGTTTCAGTAGTTTGAACCATATGTAGAGCAATCAATCAACCTAACCCTTAACTACTTCACTCGCCCAAATGGCGAGACCTACATATGAAGAACTCTTGTTTCAAACTTCATGTTCTTCGTTCCTATTATCGACTGTCATTCAATTAACGCACGTTTAGAAGGCTTGAACTCTCAGCTTCTAGAGTCCGAGGTGTAGAGCAAGGTTCATGGCCTGACTGTCGATGCCTAATTCTCAGTATTCTCTCTTTCTGTATTCATGAGCTTTGAACCATATCTACATGATGCATTTGCTAGCCTTCTGGTCCTTGCAGATTCTACCCTGGTTAGTATTTTTGACATCTTTGTATGTCACTATATATCACTCTTGTGGAGTTATTACCTTTGTCTCCTTTGTCACGTTTGTTCCAGCCTACTGAAGAATACTCATGAGCGCTTGTCTTTACGTTCATCAAGGAACCCTTTCTGTACATCCTTGACTGAAATTTAAAAGCCTCTTATCCCTCCTTGCTCGAAACTGAAGGCCAAAGGGTCAATTGTTTCACCCATTGTATAGAAACGGACGCTAGATCTGTTGAACTGCTTCATAACCTTCATGATTGTGCCGTCTAACCTGCAATGACTCAACTCAGGTGAATAGGAGGTTCAAACAATTGAATGAGAAACTCAAGAGTCAAAAGCTCAAGTTCTCAAGTCCCGTGACTTGCGAGCTGAAAATCGGAGTTGAGATCAAGTGGTACCATTGTTTATCTGATCAAGATAAAGTCGCGAAACCATCATTCCCCACAAAGAATTGAGTTGATATGAAATGTTTGTGTCATTTAGTGGACATTTTGCATGTATATCGTCCAGCTTGTTCTCCAAATGGTGCGAAAGAGTAAATGCAATGTGAACTTCCACAGTCGAAGAGAGAAAGCACAAATGTGTTTTCTCGTGAATCGCCCCAAGAATCCTAAGTCCAAAGTCCAAAAAACAAAGTCTGCTGGAATCGAAACGGGCTTGGGACTGGAGGCTATTTACCTTACATGTGAGGACTAAACTATCATTACAAAGATTCAGTTTCACTAGACAGCAATGACTGTCAAAGTTCTTTTAGCTAGCACGGTTTCCTAGGGAAAGAAGTATCACCCCACGATAGTTATAAGCATGTCATGATCGGAAGACCTGAATGTCACCATCAATGGTTATGTGCTCTTCGAACGATTTTCCTTTCAAAGAAACATCACCATTGTATGCAGATATTGTGACGAGAACCATTTAAGTGCCTCCCTGTAAGTGGCAAATATCTCTGTTTCTTCTGAAATTTAGTGGAATGCTTGACAGAACTAAGTTTTCATGATTCATCGTTAAAATACCGGATTTTGAAGCCGTGGACTGCACCATTGAAGCAAGGACATGTTCTATAAATCGTTTCTAAACTGCATGGGTCACTCCGGACATTCCTGCTTTGAGTTGGTCTTCCTGGGTTGGTAAATGAGAAGGCCTGGATAGAAATTAAATTAATTTTCCTAACTGGGAAATAACCCGCTCTTGTATTTTCAACTTTTTTACCTTGCCATACCTTTTTTCTTCCTGAATTGAGTTTCATATACGTCCACTTTTGGTTTCTAACACTCCTTATACAGTACAGTTGTATGTGTCCATGGTGTTACGACGGTTTCCAGTTCCAATGATCACGTTTCGTGTGAAACTTTTAACTTTCATTGTCGTAATTTGTTGAAGTTGAGGAACTCGGTAAAATCTTGTGCTTGTACTTCAATCTAATACTTGTACTACTGGAGTTGTAAACTTCGTGGTTTAACATTTTCGCTGTGCTTCTTAATATATTTGCTTCAAAAGTAATGTTTTCAGTGGTTTAGACAAATGCGTAGTACTAAAGTTCAGTCTTCCCATCGCTCACACGCGACAGGCATTCAGTCTAGTTCATTTTTCCTGTAGAAGGAGAGTTTCATGCTTGGATTCCCTTAGATCTTGAGTAATGCACCGCTCAGCTAGGGGCGGGGTCTATGGTCGTCAGGCTGTGACAGGCAATAAAAAAATGAGTACAGCTCTGCGAGGATCCTATAGTCTTGGTCCAGATGATCAGTTTCGTTATGACTGAGGAATATCGATACATCCATTATGTACAAAGAATAGCTGTCTCTTGCTGACTCAAATGACAGATCCAGGTGCTCAGTTCTCGTTATGCATGAAAGTTTATCATACTCAGATAAACCTTCTGCACATTCTTCTATAGACGGAAACAACAGTCGACTTGGTCTAAGTTTTCTTCTTTCGGTGGTATGAATATTTTGCTGTTGTCTCTTGCTATTTCTGTCTTTTCAGGTCAGTTGCAGTAATTTTATGGGCTCTCCATACAATCTATGTGGTCAGATAAATTACTGTATCAAATTTACTTTATGCTCTAATAGGTTACCTTGAGACTAGATCTTTCTATCCCTTGATATGTGCAGATTCCGGGTTATTGCTTACTCAGTTTCTTAAATGCCAGTCATATTTGTATAATTATCTTTCATTAGTACTACACATTAATTTTCCAGGGTTTAGGTTTCTTGAAAATTAAGTTTGCTCAGTGAATGATTACTATTATATGCTCGTGAGTGCTTCACCAACTGGCTGGTCAAGCTGCCGAGCAAGTCTAGGGTTTGCTCTAAGTCAGTTTTTTTTGTGATGCAAATTTTAAGTAATGGAGAAATGAAGTCAGGGTCAGGGATGCTACGTATACAACATCTTCCTACAGCTACAATGTTTAAGTGACTGTGAATATACAAGGGGCGACGAGTAATAAAGCAAAAGGTAGCTCAAGTGACTTACTGACACAGCTAATTCCTGGAAGTTCTGTCACAGTTAACAAGGTTGTGCGTGTGAATCCGGGATGGATTGATGTTTCTAATTCATCATCTGGGATGAGCTGGCAACTTAGGACCCTAAACTGTCTTTACAAACCTGCAAACTGAATCTTTGTTGGCTGCATAAGTCCTCACGAGGTACTCTACCTTCACTGGAAGCTCCTTGTGAATGGGAGTATCGTGAGTAACTCTGGTTGAATGCTCATCCGCAGGGAGTTTTTATGGTTGTGGTCAAAATTTTCGTGTTTTGTTTAGACCGTGGTCGATGTTTACTCTTAAAAGTTCCAAGTAGCTGTCGGCTGGGCTGTGTCCAGAGCCTCTATACGTATTGAAACCTGTCAGTGCGCCTAAAGTGCCTGTTTGAGAGTAAAGTCAACAGTGACTTTCAGTTGTCTTTTCGTTATGACACGAGTTCTCTGTAGCATATCTCGATCTACGACCTAAAAAGTCCACTACCAAAACTGTTGACGGGTCTCCTAGTGCTGCTGCGGACCCACGCTCTGCTGATTAGTTTGGATTGTTCTCCGACAACCATGTTTGCTGATCAATAAAGGAACCGCACCAGCAGAGAGAGCGGCACCGAGAGCGTACGTTTCTTTACTTTAGCTTGTGAACAATTTTCTAGTGCATTTAATGCTGCCCATGTCATTCCCAAACGAACGCCAAAGTCTCGAGGCCCCCCGTTGTGCCGTATCCATTTTTTGTTGACATATCTTATCATACAGTCGTTCCTACCTTTTTTCGAGATAAGAAACAGATACTATCTTCCTCTGTTTTGTATGACTGTAAGATCAACATAATTTGATGAGTGCTTCGACTTAACAAACAAGTTACCGTAGTTCTAGATGACAAGAGAGTCCGCATATGCCTATAAGACTTTTCATCAACCACTCAAATTGAAGGGCCTGCATGTTGCCCTTTGTCGCCAAGAGTGAGGTTCCGCCTGTAGGGTATGTCAATTTTGTAGCTTTTTTTCCAGATAGAAGCTTTTACTTTTATGAGAACCACAACTGAGACTTTATGAAGTTGAGAAAAGAAGCTTATGATTCATTTGACTGTGTAATGGACGCAGTTGAATGTAAACTTGATAGAAACTCGCAATCTTTGGGTTCGCTTTTCTACCAAGTCTGCAACTGGCTCGATGCTTTGGATGCCGTAGCCTGACAATGCATTTCACTAGCTTAATCACTTCTTTCTACGTCCTGTTATTGTATGTACACCTCTCAGTATAAAGACTGATGCTCATGTTCTGGAAAGCTACCACTACAGAGTTGATTCTGGGAGAAGGTTCACAAAGGGGAAGGAACTTTCATAGCTCTTGTGCACACAAGCTCAAAGCATCTAAACCTTACGAGTCATACTTTTGTCACTATTACAATTCACCGTACGAAGGGAGACATGGGAGCAAGTGTTATCACAATAAAGTTGCATAGCTAAATGCCAATCAGCTCATTTTTTGCCTTAGAGGGAAAATGCTTTACCAATTTCAACTTCCAAAGAAATCTTTTTGATAGTTGGCAGAGAGACATGAAGGCTAGAAACTACTTCACGAGAAAACCAGCTTGATTTCCAGACAGAACAACCACAATTGAAAGCACTTCAAGCCTCAACCCGCATCAAGTTTTTCGCGACTGGGTCCGACGCCCATCATGTATTTATTTCATGTGAACAGGTGGTTGGGCGATTTAGGACAGTGCACGACATAGTCTCCGCTGGTCCGAAGCTATTGCCAATCTTAATCTGGTGTGGATCGGTCAAAGATCTGGAAATGTTACGATAATATTAATCATTTATTCTCGATCTTCCTTTTAACAAACGACATAGGCTCACGATATAATTGTGTCCTTTACATCGCTGAAAAGAAGGAATATCTGTTCTTTATAATGGACAGGTGAGAATGACGTAGTGCAGGTCATGTGACGACGAATCATTACAAAATGCGTCACTTTCCTGCAGTTTCTCAAGTATTATAAAGTAGAGGGAGATTACTGCACTTTGTGCAGTAACAGATTATTACTACTTATTCCGGTACGTGTGAAGACAAAACATATTGCCCGATGAAAGTGTTATCTTGAAGGCTTTGTAGTACATTGTGTGAATTTTAAAGTTTTTACTTTGCACTGCAGTTATGAAGGATCAACCTAACAAGAAGGAATACAGTAAAAGTTCTTCAAACGTAATACGTCAGGGGTGACACGTTGGATTCATTTCAGGGTATGCAAGTGATTTCCTTGATTGACATTCTTACTTGCCAGATGGCTCTGGATGGATAGATAACGAAAGAAGATGATGCCAGCAGTTTAGTATTCCATAAATTTGTGCCTAGCGGATCGCAAGATAATAAGTGCATAGATAGACTTATGTGGTGATCTAATAAACACTAATGCTCCGATGAGATCTACGCATTAGGTGACCATCTCAAAAGGGAAGCAAGGTATTTTTCGGTAAGGCTGAAAAACCGTTTCTTTGATCAAGTGGGTCAATAGGTGAGTGCGGGTTTCAATTGAAATGTTCCTTTTTACTTTTCAGTATCCTTCAGTTATTTAAGTTTTCTCAGTCGGGAAGGCAAATCTCTTTGATTTGATATGATGATGTGGTTCAGAAGTTAGAATTGAATTTTACGTTCGGTAATGATTTCAGGATTTTCCATGAAACTTATTAAATTTTGAAATCCAGATTTCCAATTACGGCAGTATAGGTGTGCGATCGTGGCGTCAAACCTGCGAGTAATCTAAATGCACATAAAATGAAATTTTTTTTACTTGATAGATCGTGAATAATGACTTATGTTTGAACCATTCTTATCATGACATACCAAGTAGTTCATTTAAATTACTTATATGTAACCCATGTGAGTATTTAACAAATCAAGTTTTGATAAGTATTTTGATAGAATGTATGCATGAAATATGCACTTACTGATGGTATTAAACTTCTTCTCGTATATTCTATATGAGTAGATTTTTGGATTTAATTTCTGATTTGGAACTTCTTCAACATTGGTTGATTGAGACTATGAAAAACAGCTTTCTGTTGTCCCACCCCAAAAACTTCACTATATGCTGGAAATCCTATGGAAGTAAAAAATACCCCCTCAGAGACTATACGTGAAGCGAGCTTCCAGTTTAAAGAAATAGTCCAAGAAAGTCAAGAAGAGTCTAGTTCGGGCAAATATGACCTTAATGAGATGCTCAGACATCCTTACTTGCAATAATTCTAAAAATCCTCAAAAGTATATTCACCGTAGTTATCTGTACGGTGAATATCTCCCCCTACGTCCAATATGAGTTTCAACTTGGGTCTATCAACCTTTGAAAATTGGAAAAACCTCAGACTTGTGTATTGAGTATTCAATGAACTATACGCAAGATTTTTTTTAGTGGGAATAGGAGGGATATTCACACGTCATTTTTCATAACTCAAATAATTCTTTGGAACTAGTTATACCAACACCATTGTATCATTAGCTTGCTTGCTCATAATGCAGTGTTCACAAAACGCCAAAATCAACTTCAATCTAGCGAGTTAAGAACTTTTCGTCAAGAAAGAGTATATGCTTGACACTCATGTAACCTAGTCTAAAATGTTATCGACTCAAAATATGGTAAAATGAACTTTCTCATAGATGGTATTGTCCTTTAGCATGTACAAAATATTGAGCTTGTGTCCTCAAAAGATACTCTTATCTCATGATCTAACTTATAACATGCCTTTTGTTATGGACAAGCTAGGACGTCAAAGAACTGCTGCAAGCAAACTAGGCCAGAGAAGAACACACATGGATGGATGATGGCAACATTCTTTCTTATCTTCAATTTTGAAGTCTGGGTGAGCCTTGCGTAAACGGTCTGCCTGTTCTTTCTGCCATTCTTGAATTAGTCTAAGCTCTAACACAAGCTCTTGTTGAACTCAGTTAAGAAGCTTGGTTCTCTCTTCAAAGGGATTTACTAAACTTTGAATTTCAAAGTCTAGGATAGGTTGACATGGGTCGAGTCATGCATTGTGTTGTTGTAAGCAAATTCCGCTTGAGATAACAATGCCTGTAAATCGTCTTGGTGGTAGCTCACGGTGCAATGAAGGCGCTGCTCGAGATTCTGGTTTCTCCATTCCATTTGCCCGTCAGACTTAGAGTGAAACTTGCTCTATCATTGCCAAAACTTGAATGGGAACTGAGTATCTTTGTAATATATTATTTTATCGGAAAATCCATGCAGTTGTACAACCCAATCATCCTCACATTCGCGGCGACTGGAGTCGTGGGTGACGGATATTTCAAGTCACGTGCGACAATGAACACGGGCGACGAGAGTTGCGGGTGACTGATATCTTAGTCGCGGGTGACGGTGGTCACGAACGACGGTAGTCACGGGCGACTAGAGTCACGAATGACGAATATTTTCAGTAACGGGCGACGGTGATCACTGGCGATGAGAGTCGCGGATGACGGATATTTCAGTCGCGGGTGACAGACTTGTATCACAAGCAGCAAGCAAAATTCATGCACAGTTTCAGCCAGACCAATTTTTGGTACTCAAGATTCTGTTTCTCAAAAGATTCGTCTTGTTTGGAGAATATTCTGTTCATGCATATTTTGTTCCAAACATCTCTCTGTCGGAGTATAGGCAAATTGGATATCGTTGGAAGGCTCTTGACGCAACTACTGCATCTTCATCATTTTCAGAAGTTGAAAATCCACCCAAAAGACGAAATTCACGCGGATACAGACGTTGTTTCTAGTTTTCGTCAATCGAGATGCATCGAAGCAAGTTGGAGAAACAGAGTACAACATTCTTCCTCTTGATGGCTGAGGTGATTATATGCTTTGGGAAAAGCAAGTGAAAGGTAAGCTGAGATTTACGGCTCTCGCTAATGTGTTTAGAGACAAACTAATGCACATTACCGACATTGATTAGAAAGATTCACAAGAACAAGCAGTGTACATTGTGATGAGTTATCTAGCTTTTTGATGCCATACAAAGACGATTTCATCAGAAGAAAATATCACATGCAATGAACATCTACACAAACCTATTGAACTTCATGATGAAGCCGAGATCGAGAATTCAAAATCACATTCACGCCTACGGAGATTAGTTGGTAAATCTCAGAGTATGGGAGAAGAGCTTTCTAACATTAAGAAAGCTATGCATTTACTTCACTCCTTGCCTTCCTCCTACCAGAAATTGTCAAATATTCTCCTTCATTGTGATAACTAAGTTGTAACTCATAACGAGGTTATCATTTTTTTGTCCACTCATTTCAAGTATTGCACTCACTTTGATCCGTGGTTAGTCGCAATTGTCGGGTTTGGACAATTTGTAGCGCATAGGGTTCAAGCGGCAGAGACTTAGATCCTCTGAGCAAAGGAGGTTTCAATTTCGGGTTCTATCCCCTAACAAGAGGAACTTGAACATCTTGGTGTGTTGGAGATGTGGCAAGAATGACCACATCAAGAGGGAGTGTCGAATGATAGTCAAAGATCCGAATCTTCCTCAAGTGGCAAATATTGCAGAGCATCTTCACTCAGAAGAGGAAGACGTGTTTGTCATCGGTCTATGATGCTAGAGATACGCCCTCTGTAGTTCACCAACAGTCGTTGGTGATGTATAGATTTTGGATAGTGCTTGTTTTTATCACATGTGTTACATTAGAGAGTTTTTCTGTATTTTCTCAAAATCAATCGGGTCCATTTTTATGGAGAATTACCAACCTTGTAAGATTGAGGGTATGAGATCTGTAAAAATCCGCATGTTTAATGATGTCAACTGAACACTGACACACGTTAGATTTATACCTGACATGTGAAAGAACTTGATCTTAATGGCAATGTTAGACTCACACGACTTAGAGTGGAGTTCTAGGCAGGGCGTGTTAGATGTCAAATCCAATGATAAGGTTAAACTTAGGGTATACAAACACAATGATTGGGGTGCTTAGTTTTTTCATTTTTTGCATAACTAACAAAAACTTAAACATATTTGTGTTAGAAAGTATGCATATAAGTACTCAGTCGTAAAAGTTAGGAGAAATACTCCAAATTTAGCTAGTTAGAGAAGGAAAGTGAAATTCGCATTCGGAATGAATTCGGTCGTTTGAATTTGCAAAGGGCTGATCAAGATCCGCACGCACCGAGAGTACCAATTTGCACGCGTGTGGAGAATGTTAGGGCGTCGAAGGTAAGGGCGCGAAGCACACACACCACACCGACATTGCGATATCGAAAGAAAGCGAGAGAATCAATCGATCTTGATAAGAACGAAGACACAATTGGAGATATGACGCCGCCCATGACAGCCAAGGTGCGAAAATTGGTCTTGCTGAAGGTGCCCTATGCGGAGTTGCGACCCTACAAGCGAGAGCTTGTCGAGTTACATTTGAATTTCTTCCTCTGAGATTGGAATTGCGTGTCGGCGACTTTCTACAAAGAGAAGATGGACAATAATCGTAGCGAGGGAGATGATCTCCGATGCAATTTGATACTGTGGACAATCGATTATTGGACGATGGTTCTAGGATCGTGCGCATAGGAAGATAGTGACTTCATGTTCGAGAAAAAACGTCAAGATTACATGCGTGGATGAATTTACCTTCGCTCCACTCTTCAAGAACGCGAGGTCGAGGACAAATGGGTGGAAAACAATAGATTACAAGGATCCGAAGAGGCGTGCGATCGCGTTAGAGATAATGCATATTCTACGACCGCAGCGCACGACCTACATTACCGCTTGGCAAGTTGGCTTCTTCGAGCGCGCATTAAAGGGAGAACAAATTCATTGGAGTAAGATCTTCCACGACTTAATCTGGACCAATGTCAGCACCCCGTGGAAGAGTGGTTCGATTAATCACATTACCCTTTACTTAGTGAACTTCTATCGAGGAATGGGGTTACTCACGAAGGAGAAAGAGAAGCGATTCTTGAAAGAACGAGAGATACTAGCAATTGAGTCCAGCGAGGAGACACATGAGGAGGACGATGTTCAACCTTAATAGCCACCTCGGAGAACAACGCACGAACTAGTGTGGGTGGATGTCCTCGCGATCAGAAAACAGCCAGATAGGAGACTAGCGAAGAGATGGAAGATAACTGCCGATAGTGGAGAAGGCCGAAGATTGGAGTTGCAGATGGCGGAGATCCAGGTAATGGGAATCAGGTCGTCGAAGACCCGGGCCAGGCCGAAGAAGAAAGCAAATCGTGGGAGAGTTGTGTCCGATTCTTTGGATAGTAGTGTGGCGAAGACGGATGCAGCTGCCTCGACGACAAACGAAGAGAAACGGGAGGAGTCTACTCTTTGGGCATTGGAAGGAGGATTTTGACGGTACACGCTGAAGTCCTGACGGAACTAGCAGTGGAATCTTTGGAGGAAAGGACGAAGACGGTTAGTCTAAATCTTCCACCTTCGGAGCAGACGCGATCTATGGGGAGTGAAAAAGTAGCACAACCGAAGTCTAGTGAAGAGATGGCGAGGGATCTCACACTCAATGAGGAGATACTTGAGCAGGTAGTGTCACAGGTTGGTGGGACAGTGGTAGATATCCCCGAGATTCCATCGCCTCCACCTCTTGTGGAAGAGGTAAGACCTTAAGCAGGAAAGAAGGTTGTGGAGTAGGAATCAAGCGAGTCAGTTGTCTCTTTTCCCGATTTCCTGCAGTACAGGTAACACCTCTACTAAAGTACTTAGACAAGAAGAGAGAAGTATGCTATGGGGAAAAAACTAGGCTTCTATGTAGAGTTAGTGAGCAATAGAACTCAGATCAAGAGGGCAGTAGCGGTGAAAAGGGAGTGGGAGTCCGCAACTGCAATGGCAAAGGGACGAGTTGCAAGCTTGACAGCCGAGTGCGCGACCATAAGAACGACATTCCAGGAGCATAGAGACCATCTTAGGGCAAAGGAGATGGAGTGCAAAGTCCTTCGGCTGAACCTAGCCAAGGAGTCCAATCTTTGTGCGACGTTAGAAAAGGATTGTATCAGTCTTCGGGCCGTCAATGAGAATGTGCAAAAGATAACGGCAGAGCTATGTGAAATTGTAGGCATGCAAGGGGGCCTACACCGCAGAAGTGCGTCGCGTGGATCAATTCACCGCGGATTTGACGAAGCACGATCAGTTGCATGTTGCGGAATTAGCTAAGGAGGAAGAGCGAAGAGCCGAAGAGGAACGGATAGCCGAAGATCTTCGGGGTCAGATTGCTGTGATGAAGAAGGAGCAAGAGGAGCTTCGGGGTAGGATTGCGGAGCTCACCGATGCTCATGGCAAGGAGTTGCACCGTGCGGAGTAGCTCACGGTGAGTCTGGCGGATGTACTCCGGAAGCACACAATCGAATTGGCTAATTGGGCCAAGAAATTGACAGATTGCGAAGCAGCCAGATCTTTGGAGGTCGAATGTAAAGTAAGATTCGAATCGAATTGTGGTCGGTTGCAAGATCAGTTGAAGTTAGTTGTTGTACAGTTGGAGGAGTTGCGGGCGAGAGCGAAAAAGGCCGAGGCGGCATACCAACAGCTAGGCCTCGGCAAGGTAAGGTAAAAGGTAACCGGGTAAGCCATGGCCTCTACCTTTACCCTACCTTTTACTTGACTCATGTCACTATTTTCTACCTTTACCTTTTACTTCTACTTCAGGGTAATTACCGTGTTACCTGATACGGATTCTAAAAGGTTTAAAAGTTATTCTTACATCAGGATTACCCGCTAATTACTCTATTACCTCTACCCTAAAGGTTAAAAGATCAGGGTTACCCGGTTATTACCCTATTATCTCTACCCCAAAGGGTAAAAGTTAAAGGCAATTTACCTTTTTAGTACAGTTTACTTGATACTTTCAGTAAAATGTGCATGATTACATTCTGAATAATTATGACAGTATACACATTTTTGTTTTTTGCGAGTAAGAGGGTAACCCGGTAATTACCGGGTAACCCATTTGGCTCTACCTTTACCCTACCTTTACCTTACCCTATAGTCAAACCTCTACCTTTACCCTTACTTTTTACCCTTTTACTGGGTAACCCCAAAAGGTTACCTTACCTTTCCGAGGCCTATCAACAGCTGCAAGATGAGACGACCGACGGTTTGCGTTTGCGTGTAGAGAAGTGCCTAAGTGGATTTGTGATGTGGAAAGTGCAAATGCTGAAGTGACTGAAATTGGATTCCCTGGAGTGAAGGTTGATGAGTATGAAGGCCAACGGGTTTGCGGGGCACAAGCAGTTAGTTCAGTTAGTCAATTCTTTCTCTTCCGGATTGGAAGAGGCGCGAGAGAGTTTAGAGATTGAGATTGTAAACGTGTTGCGTAAATTAGGAGCCGACAGAAGCTCAGAGAACGTTGTAACCGCTGCTGTAATAACCCACTAAAGGCTAAAACTGCAATATAGTGGTAGAAAGGTCGAACACACAGGGACAGAGGAACACACAGGGTACAAAGTGTCACGTTTAACAGACTATTGAGGAGTTTGAATTCTCAGGCGACTGTCACTCCCAGAAATACTGCAAGTGTCCACTCGGAGCGCACTCGGAGGTCGCACAG